GGGGGGGGGGGGGGGGGGGGGGGGGGGGGGGGGGGGGGGGGGGGGGGGGGGGGGGGGGGGGGGGGGGGGGGGGGGGGGGGGGCGTTTCTCTGACATCAGGCCCCACAGGAGAGGGGGAAACTAAGCTATAGTGAGTGGAGGTCTGGTGCTGTGTACAGGCTTTACTGGTGTGGGGAATGGGAGGTCCTCAGCATTGCCCCAGAAAGTTAATGCAGACAGCCCCTTCTCAAGCTAAGAAAATGTTAGTGCCAACATTACCCTCTTGCTCATTTGCTGTAGACATCAAATCATACAGCAAAATGTTCAGCAGTTGCTTGAGGATTTATTAAAATACATCAGGACTACTTTTTATACCTAGCCACCACTTCAACCATGGTACATTGATAGCCTCACCTACAGGGTACATGGTTTCAGGACAGGGAACTGGGCTTTGGTAGCATCCATGCGGCAGGCCTATTGGTTAGCTTGTTACGGTTTGATGTCTTGCCACCTTGTATGTAGAAAAGTATTGTGAGGTCCAAGCTATTCTCTGTGGCCTCTAGACCATACATTTCTCCTTTGGGGTACTCATAAACTGCCACTAACAGAGATTGTTGCACCTGGAGCCACAAGAACATTCGACTTCTTCCCCATCTCTATTCCCTGGCATTGCCATAATCATTACTACTAATAAAGTAGCAAGGGATGTGAGTTTTAAAGTATGCCTGAGCTTGAAGTTGTTGAGGAATGTGGTGTGTTGATATAGTGGGAAAAGCTGGGTCAGTAAGCAGATCACAGAGAGGATAGTTGGGGATGTCAGATACCTGCAGCTTTGTACAAGATTACCGCCCTTTGTAGATATACGTGGCATGTACACCCAAACATGCACACAGAGCTCGTGCTGCAGCATGTGATGGCATTCTCTGTTTGTGTGTATACACAGATCTGAAGTACGCTGGCAGATGACGTACTGGGCGAGTGCTCCTCTCCAGTCATCAAAGGGCCAGGCAGGCAGGGAGAAAACGGTTACAGGCTGTAAAGCAGCCTCTCGCTTTTCTTCTTGTTCTGTTTTTGTTTTTCTTAAAGCCCACCTACACTGTGGTCTCAGCTGAGCTGATAGCAAAGGAGCCCAGATTGATTATTCACACTGCTAGTGACTGCTAGGATGCTTTTAGCAGTTCATGGTACAATGTTGCACAGTAAACAGCAGGCAGAGAGGCTCGCATTTCCTTTGATAGTGTTTTAAATAGGAACTATAACCTTTCCCATGATCAAAAGCGCCTAGCCCAGTTGTGTCAAGGGGTGGGGAAAAAGGAAGCATTTTGATAATGAGCTCTTTGGGGGCTGTCAGCACTTTTGGATGCCTGTACATTGCTGCTTTTTCCACAGCAAAGTAGAAGGCTGTCCGTCTTGTCTTTACTCATCATGTTCTTCACTCTGCTTTCCCTCTCAGAAAAAAAAACAGCTTATAACAGCAATGCAAAACTACTAGGCAGGGAAGATCTGTTTATGTGTGCATGCAAAAAGAATGTTTTGCCGTTAGCGAGTGGAGCTGCCAGTCGCAGATTGCTTCGTCGTCTTGCCCCAGCTCCATTCTTTCCAACTTGGAGGCGATCTGATTATCAGCGCCGATTCTTTCTTTCTTTTTCTTCTCCCCCCCCCTTCCCCTCACATGCCATTGTCTCTGGCTGGCTTTGTTGAATTAAAACTTTGCAGTGCCTGCTTAATGAGTTCCATAACCAGGCGAAGTAATGAGCAGAAGTCCTTTTTTTCCCTTCCCTCATCCTCCCTCCTGCTGGCCCGCTTACCTCTTTTACCAGAGCTGCACCCACCCGCCCGCCCCTTTTTGGAGCGGGGCGGAGCAGGGAGGGGGGGAAGGAGGGAGGAAGAACTTTAGACTTATTTATTTGAATAAGAAAAAAAAAAGTTTTTTTGCACCGAAATCACGCGCGTGCCATAGATTAGCTGTGGGCAGGGATAGGCTGCTCGGCCGCCGGCCGCCGGCCCCATTGGCTCCGGGGCCGGGGTATTGTTGCAGTGGGGCAGCTGCTGGGAGAGAATAGACAATAGAGCAGCTGTCTTGCACTGGCACCCTGCACACCAGCTGTCCACTCTTATCTGCACACACACTTTCGGGGGATATTAAGAGGTGGAGCTGTGTGCATAGAATTGGAAAAAAGGACTTCTGACCCTCACTGGGAAGGGAAGGGGGGTGAGGGGCTTTGGGGAAGGGAGCAATTGTGAGCGCTCTTTTGTCTGTGTGCAACTGTATTAAGAAGAATGCTCATCCCCGGCGATAAGTAAAGTGCCCAGTTACGAGGCGAGATCAATACCCCTGCAGACTCCAGAGATTAACTCTGCTGCGCTTAACTGCCCCGACCTAGTAAAAGGGGCTCGCTCCCCACCTGCAAGGTGCTCTAGGGGTCGGACTTGTAAAAAGGAGGGATTCGGCCCTGGTGCTGATGTCTCTCCTTGCTTGGTTTGTTTACAGCGATTTGTTTGCCTGGATGCGATGAGCAACACGGCTTTTGCGACAAACCTGGGGAATGCAAGTAAGTTCCCCACTCCCTTCTTTGTCTTTAATGTTGATCCTCTGGTGTTAACTAAGCCATTGGTCATTTGAAGGGTTGGTTTAAATGCCTTCTTCATATGAGATGGTAATTCTAGAAATCCAGGTGATGCCAGATCAAAGTATTAATCTACAAGTCAAACATCAGTGTCATTAATATTAACCTAATGAGTTTACAGTGCTATGTGTAAGGTTTAGCTGTTTGTTATTAGAGTAAACAAATTAACTACCTGGAACCATGGCTCTATCTAAGGAAGTGGAAGAAATAGCTGGGACTGGTGAAATCTGATGCTATGGTTGGACTTGGTGACTTTCTCACATGAAGGATCACTGAGGGCTTTTAGGAAACTTGATCCCTGGCATCAGTGTGTTTGCAGAGTTTGCGATAGGGTTTCCAACTGTGAGAAGTCTAAATCTGATGAGACTTTGTTGTTGTTTTTTTTTTTTTTTCAGATGCAGAGTGGGTTGGCAGGGGCGATATTGTGATGAGTGCATCCGATACCCTGGCTGCCTTCATGGTACCTGTCAGCAGCCGTGGCAGTGCAACTGCCAGGAAGGCTGGGGTGGCCTTTTCTGCAACCAGGGTGAGTTCTCAGTCCTTGCCTGAGCATCTGTTTTAAAACACAGAAAGCAAGTGGCTATTTCCAGCTCACCCACCCTGTGCTAGCCTTGCAAAATAGCAAGTATCTTGACTGCCCTCTTTTTGAAAAAAAATCTTTTACAGACCTGAACTACTGCACCCACCACAAGCCCTGCAAGAATGGTGCCACATGCACCAACACTGGTCAGGGGAGCTACACTTGTTCTTGCCGACCCGGGTACACAGGCTCTAACTGTGAGATTGAAATCAATGAATGTGATGCCAACCCTTGCAAGAATGGTGGAAGCTGCACTGTAAGTTTGAGTTGCTTGTGCCATCTGAAACCCCAAGGGAGGAGTTAATGTCAGTTTTACTGATTTTCAAAACCCCTTTTGGGATTTCAAAGCAACTTCAGATAAATATTTTGACCATTTCTCATTTCTTCCCCCCAGGATCTTGAGAACAGCTATTCCTGTACCTGCCCCCCAGGCTTCTATGGTAAAAACTGTGAGCTGAGCGCAATGACTTGTGCTGACGGACCATGCTTCAATGGTGGGCGATGCACCGACAACCCTGATGGGGGATACAGCTGCCGCTGCCCACTGGGTTATTCTGGGTTCAACTGTGAAAAGAAAATCGATTACTGCAGTTCCAGCCCTTGTGCTAATGGTAAGATCAAACATGCAACAGTGACCTTCTGAAAGGAGACCATACAGTTACTTTGGCTTTTGGTCTGGCGTTCATAACAAGGCCCACTGATCAATCACGGTCCATGTCACATCGATAGGTGACTTGGTGGAGGAACTGTACTTAAAAAGTAATGGTGTGGTTTGGCCCACTGCTGCAGGTTGCGTTTTCTCAAGGGTTGACTGTGGCCAGGTAACTTGGCCTGAAGCTTCATGCGCAAAAATGTGGAGGATTTAGACTTACAAATGTTTTGAAAAGACTCAAAATGCCATACAAGTACTAAATATTATTACTTGTAATCTGGTAACAGTAATCTTCCTGTTTTGATTAAACTAGTGAAGACTTTCTTTACTGCATTCCTTGTCATTCATTGCCACTCAAACTCTGTAACCTGAGATTGTGGTGTTAACCTGATCTGGACTAGCTTTGTTGTCCAAGATGAATGAAATGTTAAAAAGGGAATACGATGGAGAATTAAAAATAGAACCAATTAACAAATATCTTTCTTTAAAAAACCCTGTACTTTTAATGGTGGATCAGACTTGGCAAAGGAGGTTGAGCTCATAAAGAGCTTTTCTCAGCTGCTGGTTGTGATGGTCACCCCAAGAGCAACGGGTGGGAGGCTGTCAAGTCTGGCTGCCCACCACTCAGCTCTTATCTCCCTTGATGTCTTGCAGGAGCCCAGTGTGTCGATCTGGGGAACTCCTATATATGCCAATGCCAGGCTGGCTTCACTGGGAGACACTGTGATGATAATGTGGATGACTGTGCCTCCTTTCCCTGCGTCAATGGAGGGACCTGCCAGGATGGTGTCAATGACTATTCCTGCACCTGCCCCCCGGGATACAACGGGAAGAACTGCAGCACCCCGGTGAGCAGATGTGAACACAACCCCTGCCACAACGGGGCCACCTGCCACGAAAGAAACAACCGCTATGTCTGTGAGTGCGCTCGAGGGTATGGTGGGCTCAACTGCCAATTTTTGCTCCCTGAGCCGCCTCAGGGGCCAGTCATCGTTGACTTCACTGAGAAGTACACGGAAGGCCAGAACGCCCAGTTCCCATGGATCGCCATCTGCGCTGGGATTATTCTGGTCCTCATGTTGCTGCTGGGCTGTGCTGCTGTGGTCGTCTGCATCAGGCTCAGAGTGCAGAAGAGGCACCACCAGCCTGATGCCTGCAGGAGTGAGACGGAGACCATGAACAACCTGGCGAACTGCCAGCGCGAGAAGGACATTTCCATAAGTGTCATTGGTGCCACTCAGATTAAAAACACAAATAAGAAAGTAGACTTTCACAGTGATAACTCCGATAAAAATGGCTACAAAGTCAGATACCCATCAGTGGATTACAATTTGGTGCATGAACTCAAGAACGAGGACTCTGTTAAAGAGGAGCACAGCAAATGTGAAGCCAAGTGTGAAACGTATGATTCAGAGGCAGAGGAGAAAAGCGCAGTACAACTGAAGAGGTATCTTTCACATCTGAGTGCAGGGGGCAGCTTGACTCTGAAGCGGGGGGGGCGTGTGTCTCATAGGTAGCATTAAGCAACAGCCATCTGACCTGTGTTGTCTCTTTTTGTCTTCAGTAGTGATACTTCTGAAAGAAAACGACCAGATTCAGTATATTCCACTTCAAAGGACACAAAGTACCAGTCGGTGTATGTCATATCAGAAGAGAAAGATGAATGCATCATAGCAACTGAGGTTAGTATACTGCCTGGCACTTGGAACAGCAGAGAAAAGTCTCAGTGTGCATCCCTTATCTAACACATGTCTGGGCAGCTAAACTCTGTTCCATGGTGCCACAGCGATTTGTACCTGTTGAAATCCAGCCAGCTTGAGTTTGTTGTGCTGTGGATGTTGGAAAGACAATCTCTGACTTGCTGCTGTGGATTTTACAAGTATGATGGCTTTTGCAGACCAGGGTACAATGATAGTGTGGTTGTGGTCTGCTGACCTACCTCTTAGCGTGATTCATGCAGACTCTGTTCTTGCCTGGCACAAAAACAGAGTACCAACCCTCTGCAGCCTTACAGCCCACTTCTAACTTTCCATTAACCTTTCCTGATCTCTGCTCGTGTTTTTTCTCACCAGGTGTAAACCAGAGGTGATATGACAAGGTGGTTGTTCAGATCAATTTCAGAGGAGACGTGCCCCGATGAATGCTGCTGAAAGAGGAATGGGAGATAGATTCCTTCACTGACTGCTGCTGAGAAACTAAATTCAGGCTTGAGCTGGTTCTCTACTGAAGTTAGCAAAGTGACTGCAAAATAAAGAAACAAGATGGACACCAGGCAAGGGTCTGTGTTCAAGGATTACTGTTGCACTGCCTTTTATGAATTTTATCATTGCACTATGGTCAGTTGCTTTTCTATATATATTTAAATGAATGGACTTAATTACTACATAAGAAGCATGCACTGCCTGAAGTGTATATTTTGGATTCTTATGAGCCAGTCTTTTCTTGAATTAGAGACACAAACACTGCCTTTATTGTCTTTTTTGATACTAAAATGTGTTTTTACTAGGTGAGAAAAAGTGTGTTATTTTTTTGAATCTGTAAAAATATTTTCATGATAATTGTAAAGCTTGAGTATTTTGTGATGTTCATTTTTTTATAATTTAAATTTTTTGGTAAATATGTACAAAGGCACTTCGGGTCTATGTGACTATATTTTTTTGTATATAAATGTATTTATGGAATATTGTGCAAATGTTATTTGAGTTTTTTTTACAGTTTTGTTAATGAAGAAATTCATTTTTAAAATATTTTTCCAAAATAAATATTATTAATGATAACCAGACTGCTCTGTTTAGTCTATAACAGAACTTTGCAGCCAGGCACCTGACAGGCTTCTGTGGACTCATGGGTGGGTGGGGTAGGACCCAGACCTATCACAAAGACTGGGGAACAACTTGTTCTGTGTAGACCTCCCATCTTTTCCCTCCTAACCTTCTGAACTGTTGACCTCACAATTGTGCTCACTCCTACCCCAAAGGCGAATGTCTGTCAAAACCTTGAGTAATGTTTGCTCAGTCATGTTGGGCTGTGTATAAACACACATGGCACCACTTCTCAAGGAAGAGCAATGCAAGTGCGCTCTGTCACCCCCCCAGATGTGGGGCTTGTTGTGACTCAGCTCTTCATTTCTCGCGACCTCAAACGCTTACCTGGAGTCCAGGGGAATTTGGGACGCCCACGGCACACCAGTGGGGCCCCAGTTCAGGTCCTTGATGCATACATATGGGATGTGAGCTCCCCAAGTCACACCTGTCAGGGGGTGGCACTTCCCTCTCCAGGAAAGGGTGACACTGAATTGACGGGTGGTCACAACTCTCCTGACTATGATACCTGTCTGAAGTATCAGTTTCATCTTTGGTTTCCACTCTGCCCCTGGTGCCTGCTGCCTTAATTTTGGGGCAGGGTGTGATCCTATCCCCTGGCTTGGCCCTTAATGCTTAGGCAATTTCCTCAATTCAGTTTGCCCTGACTAGCTCTCCTTCACGTTATGCTGTGTGTTAATTACCAGAGGCCCTTCAGAAACAGGCAAAGTGTTCTTCCACTTCAGGAGAAAAAAGGAAAGTCTAGGAAATAATTTCCTTTTTGCTCCATTAAAGCTGAACCCCAATCATTGTGGGCCATATACTGCAGCTTTGGGGAGGCGATGAAGATCCTCTGTTCCCATTCACTTTGGGGGGAGTGTGCTAAACACAGAGTGGGACAGCAGATATAATTGAAGATATAACCAAGCAATTATCACGTCTGTAAAGTACATATGTAGTCCCCTTGTTTCAGTGTACATAAATACATGGAATGGTACTTTGGTGTGAAGTCATTTGAAAACTCACACTGGCTGCAGGGGCTTGTCTGTCTATAAAGCCTTCTTGCTAAGCCAAACCTTAGACAAGATATACTGACTTTACTTCTCATGAATTGACTAGACAGGGTCATCCTCTCCATTTATCCTGAAGTGTCTTTTTAGGGAAAGTCTTCATGAAGAGAGTGAAGTATTAAAAAGCAGCCCATCAGTGATGGTCTGAAGAGCATTTTCAATTTGAGCAGTAACATAACAAGCTACCAATAACCAGTCAATGCTTCATATATTAAACGAAGCACAATGGTGTGTATAGCAGCAGGTGTTCAGAGCAACATAATCTCACAGACTGGACAAACAAGTGAGCCTTGGTAAATTTTATTGCCATGTCTGTTGTTGATTTGCTCTTCAACCTTGGGAAAATCACTTTGTTTCTCTCTGTTTCCTCTTCTTCCCAAGATTTTTGGAGCAGGCTTGTCTCTTATGATGTATTGCCCTTTGCACAGTCAGTGCCATGGTCTCAGCTGGGCCCTCTTAATGCTGTTTCTGTAGAAACAGCAGTAATGAACGGAAGGTCACTGATGGCTGAGTGCCTCTAGAATCTCAGGTCTTTAGTGCTACATACAGCAAGTGCTATTTTAATATGGTGTTAGGTAAAGGTCTGGAAAAGCACACAGCTCCTTGCTCTTGTAAAGAGGCATAGCATCAGTACCTACTTAACCGCTTAAAAATAAAACAGCTTTGGAAAGCTCAGTTTGTCCAAGTGTGCTAATTACCAGAACTGTTGAGCTTGGTGAGTGAAGGAAAATGTACTGTGGGCAAAGAGAAAGCCATGGTCTTGTTCTTCTGAAGCACTTTCTGAAATGATTGCTGCACAGATGAGCCGAATGGCTTTTTCCATTCCTCTTTTGAGCAGGGTTGGAGCTACTGCCAAATTCAGGATTTATTTCTTGTACAGGATCACTAAGTCCTCCAGACCTGTGTGTGTGTGCATACAGGGGGTCTTAGTGACCAGAACAACTTGAGGCATGCAGTATGGAGCACTGGATTCATGCTCCTCATGTTCAGTACCTGGGCCTTTCTGAGGAAAAGAGTGGATCATCTGGGCAGGGGCTGGAAGTTGTGTGTGTGTTTGTGCAAGGGCATGTGGGCGGCACACACTGGTGCCAAGCCGTGCGTGCAGGTGGTGTGTGCTGTGGGCAAGGGGCGAAGGGACCTGCCCGCTTCCACCCTGCCAGGACTGTGCCCGCCCGAGGACGGGAGCTCTGCTGCCAAAAAGGGGCAGGAACCTCCCTGTCAGCAGGGTCTCCGAAAGGCCTCCCCATTCTAAAACGAGAGGAAAGCCTGCCTGGAGAGGCCGTTTAGCCCAGACAGCTGAGAATTCAGGGCCTGATCCAAAGCCCATTAAAATTAATGGAAAGGCTCCAACGAGCTGTAGCGGACACATGGCACTGTGCCCCTCCTGACACAGCACATCTCTGTCTCCCCCCAGGGAAGCTGTACTTACCGATGCCGTGCATGTTCCCGTGGGTGGAGGATGCTAAAGCCCATGGCTGGTCTAGCCAGGCCTGTCCCCCCGGGTGGCTCACCCCCCCCCCGCCAGCTTGTGCGCTGCACCGGGACCTATGGGGACCTGGGGTCCCTCCTCAGGCTGTCACTGCGGCACCTTGCCTTCATGCCCCCACATCAACCTGCAACATCTCCTCCCTTCTGCCCTGCAGCGGCCAGGAAGGGCTTGGTGTCATTTGGTGCCAGGTCTCAACAGGGTGTTCAGAGAGGACGCCCATCAGCCCACGCCTCTGTCCTCAAACCTGCTTCTCTGTGGCAATGGCATGTGCAGAGCTGGCATGGACAGGATGGGTCAGGAACTTAGAGGCGCTGAAACAGCAGGAGAGCTTAGCTGAAGGGAGGGACTACCTGTCCTGTTTGTGGAAGGGGGCTTTTTAAGTGAGGAAGCTTTGGGTTCAGACAGCATGTCTTAAGTTTAATGCTAAGACATGGGTTTATAAATTACTTTCAACTGATATTTATTCCTTGTACACAGTGGAGGAGGACAGCCTGGGTGTCAGGAAACTTGGGTACTATTCCTGGCTTCACCACAGACCTGATGTGTAACCTTGGGAGAGGAAGGATGGTCTTGTGGTCAAGGCACTGTGGTGGGACTCAGGAGGGCCCCGTTCTATTTCCAGTGCTCCCTCCAGACTTCCTGTGCAACCTTGGACCTGTGTCACTTAATCTTTTTAGGACCTTAGGAAAATGGGGGCCTCTTGGTTGTGCTAAGAGGGAGAAGGTCATTTGTGCTCCTAGAGAGGATACCGCAGTGGTGGTGAATGTTAAAATACTCTCCAAGGCAAGTAAGGCTATTTCCTATCTCTGCATGTCAGAGTGCTTGTCTGCGAGGTGGCGAGCTATTTTTGCAAAGCGCTTTCAGATGCTTGCATGGAATAAAGACCCCTATCACAATTGAAACATCCATCATGTCAGAGAGGATATGCAAACCCCGCACTGGCAGCAAGGAGATAAACTGGCTGGGGGGGTAGGGAGGCAGCTGCAGTGGTGTAAGTGTGTACACAGTGTGTGCAGGAGGGACATGGTGCAGTTGTATGCCCAGGGCACAGAACGGATGCCACACACAGCAGTGTGAACGTGGGGGGCCACAGTGCCATCAGCCTCCTCTCACAGATCAGCATCTGCAATCAAAGTCTGCAGCTGGTTCTTTGTTGTAGAGACTCTCTTCCAGAAAGACTATTTTTCAGGTAGAAATACAGATTAATCATGGCTTGGGACTATGATGGGCTAGGAGAAAAGCTGCAGAGATGATACAGATGGGATCCACTGATAGACCCAGAGAAACTTCCCTATTGTTATGGCCTAACATCCAAAATCACATATTTCAAAGAAAATTACCTGAGAACTACTTCTAGACCAAATCCCAAACTGAGTAGCAATCTCTCATGATGCCTGACATCTACCTGTGTCAAACAAATGGGGAGCCTCTCTATCCTCTTCTCTCCTTAGGAGCCACTTTTTTCACCTGGCTGTTAAGACATGTCTCTCTGCCTGTGTCTCTGTTACCTACTATGCAGATCGAGAACTCAAGAGCCTGGCTGGAAAAGACCCAATGTGCCCTACAAGGCAGATTTTCAGATGAAGCATGAGGCCTGCTATTGTGAAAATGTGATGGCTGATCCTGCTGCTTGCAGTGAGGCAGAGGTGGATGACAGACCCAGTGCTGTGCAGGGGCTGCTGCCTGGTCAGCGAGGCTGGGACAATGGGACTGGAGGTCACAGCATCCTTGTGACAGGTTGGGTTTTTTTCTTAGGAAGAAACATCTCTGGTCTTTTCACCTGCTGCTGCAGTGTCATCTCCTGCACCAATAAATTCAACATTGCTGGGGCTGCTCTCAGGCCCTGGAGACCGTCAGTATGGATTGGTCTGTATCCATAGCACTGAACTGCCTTACTCTCCCAAACCGACTGCATACATCCACACTGCCTGTGAGGGATGGCTCCTGCTTTGTGCCTAGGAACAGCCTGGGACACTGCTAACTGTGGGAGCAAAAGTGTGGCAGGAACCACTGTAGCAATGCAATGATACAGATGATTGTGCTTGAGACACCTGGAGCTGCTGAATTTCCCAACACAGCTGTATCCAGAGTGTCTTAGTGCCGTGTTCAGGAATGCCTTACTCCTTGGCACAGAGGAGGAACATTCTGTGTCAGTTGTGGGGGTAACTGTGAGGGTCAGTGCAGATTCATGTCACCTGCTAGGGGCAACTATATAAACTGGCACTGCTTACTTTAAAGCCTGCTCTGTGTATAGGTTATATATGATCAAAGTGATTTTTTCCATGGTATAAAACTATACCAACTAAGTGACCAGTGTGGATGCAGCTACATTGAAAGAAAGGTCACATACATCAGTGCAGATACTTTCCCTTCCCTTGTTTATTTATCCAA